GAAGCTGATTTCCCATCCAAATTGTGCTTCCCAGCTGGAAACACGGGGAAAGCTGATTTTTTTCACTGTAGGTCAGCTGTTTTGGTTCCAGTCTTGGGTGGGACTTGGGAAAACAAATGCAGAAAAATGGGGCAGCTGCATAAGGGAGGCCTGGGAAAGGTTTAAACCCCTGAATATGTGGTTTGATTTTCCAAAAGCAGGGGAAGATTTTGGGCTTATTTAGTCAGCAGAAGAGAAGAGTGAGGGGGGATTTGATAGCAGCCTTCAGCTCCCTGAGGGGAAGTTCCAAAGAGAATGGAGAGAGGCTGTTTTCAGTAGTGACGGATGACAGAACAAGGATCAAAGGTCTTAAGTAACGGTGGGGGAGGTCTAGTTTGAATATTAGGAAAAACTATCTCACTAGGAGAGTGGTGAAGTACTGGGATGGGTTCGCTAGGGAGGTGGTGGAATCTCCATCCCTAGAGGTTTTTAAGTCTCGGCTTGACAAAGCCCTGGCTGGGGTGATTGAGTTGGGGATGGTCCTGCTTTGGGCAGGAGGTTGGACTCGATGACTCCAGTCCTAGGATTCTGTGATTCTAAGATTTGGAGTGGTTTCTGATTCCCTCTTGTGACGGCGCGTTGGGGTTTCCCATCTCCTGCACCCCTGTAGTGGCACAAACAGACTCCACCAGCCGGCAGAATAGAGGGAGTTTATTGCTTCTCCAGGATACAGCCCAGCACCGATGTAACCCGGTTACAGGGCTAGGCCTGTGATGCCTCAGCCCCCCTTGAGATGGGGGAGACTGGGCTCTTAAATCCCAGCCCCCTTGCTCAGGCTGCTTCCTCCATGATTCCAGACAGAAACTGCCCCACTTCCAGCCCTGCCCCCCAGACAGCGGTTGGTCTCCGCCTTCCTCCCTTTGTCTCTGTCCCTGGGAGGCGACCTGTCGGACAGGTTGTGAGACCCTTCCTTGGTGACTCATCCACTGTCCTGTTAGACCGTGCTACAAACAGCCGCCTATGGAGGACACCCACTGCCCAAGCCCAGCAACCAGCAAGGCACCCCCATACCACACTGGGTTATAGAGCAGACCGCACGCCCTCCCACATCACACCTCTGCTTTGCCAATCCCAGTTCCAGAGCAGAGAGCAGAGCATGGTCGTGATACTGTCATGGTCGCTCGTGTTGCTATGAAGAGGGGCCTTTGCTCTTTGTACCAACTGGAGGGATTTTATAGGTCATGTGTCTTCATTCCCTCATGTAATGCTTGGAGATAATTAAGCCTGGAGGCTGGGAACGCATGTACCATCATGCCCAGGGCTGTGCCTGACGGGGACAGTTTTCTGGCCAGTCCCAGATGGAACTGTTTTTTCAGGCTTGTTTTGGTTTTGTGTGTGTGTGTTGCGGGAGATGTGTGTGTGTGGGGGGGAGTTGGTATCTGGTAGAACAGAGGAGTCCGAAAGGACGTGCCAAGCTCTGGACTGACTTCTACAGCCTGTGAACAATGAGGTCAATACTTCAGAATGTTTCCATTTTCCTAAAACAATAGGCTCCCTTTTACTCGGGTTCGTCTTTAGCCAGCTGCGGGTTTCAGCTGAGACTGAGAGCAGGGGGCTGGCTCTGCAAGATTGGTACTTCGGCACATCTCAGACGCGTCATAGCTCTGGAAGCCCTTGCTGGGGTCCTTCTGGGCAGGGGGCTGTGGGTGTGAGGGGTGGAGGAGTCAGGCCATGGGCTTGGGGATGTGGGGGGCGAAGGGCAGGGATCTGAGGATGTGGGAGTGTAGGAGTTGGGGCATGGGGGCGGGGAGGAGGAGCTCAGGGCAGGAGGTGGGGTTGCAGGAGTCAGGGCAGAGGGTTGCAAGGTGTGTGGTGGGGGCTCAGGAGAGGGTATGGGTGTTCAGGGTAGGAGGCGGGGGCAGCTGGAAGCTGCTCCACAGGGCTGGCCAGGTGCTCAGTGGCTCTCTGGGGCTGTCGAGGTGGAAGAGGTGTGTTTGCATGCTGCTCCCTGGCCGTGTCCAGACTCAGGGGTTTTTTCGGGAAAAGTAGCCTTTTCCCGAAAAAACTTCCCCTGCGTCCAGACTCAAGCCGCGTTCTTTTGAAATTATTTCGAAAGAACGCGGCTTTTCTTTTGATGGCGGTAAACCTCGTTTCACGAGGAAGAACGCCTTCTTTCGAAAGTTCCTCTTTCGAAGGAAGGCGTTCTTCAATGTAAAGAGGCCGTCTTCGAAAGAGAGCATCCAGACTCGCTGGGTGCTCTCTTTCGAAAAAGCGGATTTCTCTTTCGAAAGATCCGCCTGCAGTCTAGACGCGATCTTTCGAAAGATGCTCTTTCGAAAGAAGCCTGCAGTCTAGACATAGCCCCTGTGGTCTAACTGTCCCTACTATCACAGCCCACCCTTTCCGTATGACGAGAAACAATCACATTCCAGGCACTCCCCATTGTCCTGGCACAGCCAAACCCTGCCCTTTGCTTTAGGTTATGACAAGAGGAAGCTGCACAGCAAATTTGATGGTGCTAGCTCGTACGGTTTAGGAGGAGTTCGTGGCTGTGTCTCATGGAATGAGGTTTACCGGGGCTGCCGACAAAGGGCTTTGATGTCGACAGAGCCGACAAACAGCTGATCAGCTGTTTGTCGGCTCAGCGCGGCAGCCATGTAAATGTAAATGAAGCCACGATCATTTAAATCGCGGCTTCATTTGCCTTTGCCTATGTGTCTAATCTACATGCCTCTGCCGACAGAGGCATGTAGTCTAGACACAGCCCTTGAGCAAACAGACTCACAGATGGATGGATGGATGGATGGATGGATGGACGGACAGACGCACAAACTCTCAAATATATAGTCGATATGGGGCAAAGGATTGATCCTTTTGTGATTCTGTAGGCGATGCGTTTGGAGGTGGAGGAATAAATACCCAGAACAGTCCTCTTGAGTTTTTTTCAGTCTGAAAGGAAGAACCTAAGCCATTTCAAGGTGTTTCCATCCTCCCCTGCAGGTTCTTGGAGTTAGGACGAGGGTATTTGGTCACCAGCCGTGTCAGAGGCCACAGAAAGGATGAGTGCGAATAGAATTTCTTTGCCTTTGGGCCATCCTATAAAGCAGAAAACCCAGAGAAAAAAAATCAATCGTGGGTCACACACAAGTAAAAAGCAACTTAATTGAATTTTGATTTTTTTTTTTAGAGAGAAATTTAAAATGTTTGGTTCACCCGCGAAAAGGTGTTGGGAGCATATTGGATCACAAACTACATATTAGTCACTTCAGGGGGTAGCCAAGTTAGTCTGTACAGGATAATCTTAAAAACAACAAAAGGTCTGGTAGCACTTTATAGACTAACAAAACATGTAGATGGTATCATGATTTTTCGTGGGCTGTGTCCATGAAAGCTCATGAGCCCATCTACATGTTTTGTTAGTTTATAAAGTGCTACCAGACCTTTGGTTGTAAATATTAGTCATCAGTGTTGCAAAAAAAAAAAAAAAAAAAAAACATCATTCTGGGGTATATTAGCCACGAGACATAATTCTTCCTCTCTATTCTCTGTGCTGATGTGCTGTATTGTGTCCAGTTCTGGGCATCACAACTCAGGCAAGATGTGGACAAATTAGAGAGTCAGAGGGGAAGCAACAAAAATAATTAAAAGTCTAGAAAACATGACTTGTGTGGGAATATTGAAAAAAAATGGGTTTGTTGATTCTGGAGAAGAAAAGGCTAAGGGAGGACATGATTTTGGGTTTCAAACACACAAAAGGTTGTTATAAAGAGGAGGGAGAAAAATAGTTCTCCTTAACCCGTGAGGATAGGACAAGAAGCAATGGGCTTAAATTGCAGCAAAGGTGATTTAGGATGGACATTAGGGAAAGCGTTCTAACTCTAAGAGTCGTTAAGCACTGGGACAAAATTACCAAGGGCAGCTTTAGAATCTCCATGATTGGAGATTTTTACGAACAAGTTAGATGTGCATCTCTTGGGGGCAGTCTAGGTAATACTTAGTCCTACCTCAGTGCAGGGGACTGAACTAAATGACCTTTTCAGTCCTGCATTTCTGTGAGCAACAGGGAGTGTTGTTATAGCCAGTTCCATTCCGAATTCATGGTCCGTTTTGGTAAATTTCATGGTTGTAGGATTTTTTAAATGGTAATTTTTCGTAGGTTAGCTATTTAAATCTTAAATTGTATAATGGTGTAATTGTAGGGGTCCTAACCCCAAAAAGAATTGTGGAAGTGGTCTCCAGGTTATTACTGGGGGGGAAGCAGTACTGTTACTCTTACTTCTGCACTGTTGCTGGCAATGGAGCTGGGCAGCCAGAGAGAGGTGGCTGCTGGCCAGAAGCCCAGCTCTGAAAGCAGAGCCGCTGCCAGCAGCAGCACAGAAGACAGGATGACACAGTATGGTATTGCCACCCTTACGTCTGCACTGCTGCTGGTGGCGGGGCTGCCTTCTGAGTGGGGGGCTGAGAGCAGCAGCTGCTGGCCAGTAGCCCAGCTCTGAAGGAAGAGCCCTTGCCAGCAGCAGTGCAGAAGGAAGGCTGCATGGTATAGTATTGCCATTCATATTTCTACACTGCTTCCTGTAGTACTGGGGGCTTGGTCAGCAGCTGCCACTTTCCAGCCACCCAGCTCTGAAGGCAGCAGCACAGAAGTAAGGGTGGCATGGTATGGTATTGCCACCATTAGTTCTGCACTGCTGCTGGCAGGAAGATGCCTGGCCAACAATCGCTTTCCCGTTGCCCAGCTAAAATAACCTTGCAGCCTCCCTACCGCTCTCTTTTGGGCCAGATCCCTAATTTGCGAAATGCTGGTCTCTCCCATTAAATCTGGAGTGTATAGGGTAAAACCAACAGAATTCACAGGGGGAGACCAGATTTCATGGTCTGTGACATGTTTTTCATAACTCTGAATTTGGTAGAATCCAATTTATAGATTCTGAGGGCACCGGAAAATGTTGAGTATTTGGCCTCGGAGGATGCGATTTGCTAAGCCCCTGTTGTCTTCTTGATACATTTTTGCTTTCCAGATTCATAGCCAAGAATATCATGAGGTTACAGCGCCTGGGCATAACCCATATCCTGAATGCAGCCGAAGGAAAATCCTTCATGCACGTGAACACCAATGCAGAGTTCTACGAAGGCACCGGCATCACCTACCACGGCATTAAAGCGAACGACACCCAAGAATTTAACCTCAGCCGCTATTTTGAGGAGGCAGCTGATTTTATTGACAGCGCGCTGTCCCAGAAGGATGGTAAGACATCTCCAAGAGTTTCTCTCTGCCTTGTTTTCTAGCCAGTCAATTAATTTACTGGCAATTTGTTCTGTTGTTTGACATATTCCTATTTTTCTTTCCTCGGTTTTCCAGTGGAACAGAAACCCTGGCCCTGAGATCAGGACTTAGGTTTCTTGATGATGTGTTTAGGGCAGGTGAATAAACAGTGAAGAATTTGCTTTTCAACTAACTGCCCCCTCCCCATGTATGAAATAATGGAAAACGGCCGCAGCTGTGGGGTTTATTGGGGAAGAGTAAAACCACTGGGGCATCTTGGCAATGAAAGAGTAAAGGAACATAATACTGGAAATGCTGTGCGAGGAAGAAAGGCGTTAGTATTTTCTGGACGTATTAGTGGATCAGAGTGGAAAATCTGGGAAGTACAGTAATGCAGAATCCCAGCATGATTCAAAACAGTAAAACCATAAACCAAAGTCAGGATGGACATTGCAAATGCAATGTGCAAACCACAAGCTAATTTTGGAGCTACAGATTAAATGCAACTAACACGTGGAAGGATGGGTAATTTCTTAGCATAGGGCAGATTGTGGGCCCAGTTTGGAGCAGCTGATGCTTTGGAATGGGCCACCGATTTTTTTTATTTACTTACTATCATGGTTATTATTTTTGTATTGTTTCCGGAGTCTGGACATTGGATATATCTGGTCCTAGAAATCTGGATAAAAAATAATCGATTACCCCAGCATCGGGCATTGGGCTCCTATGTATTTTTGAAAATCCCACTAGCCATCTAAATGCCTAAATCCTTCTATTTCTTTCTTCCTCTAGGCAGCGGGGTAATGGGTGTATTATTTTTTACATGATGTAAATCAGTGATGCTCAAACTTTTTTAATTTGCGACCCCCAGCGGAAAAAAAACAAAAAACCACACCCCATGCTGGCCCCTTTAATTTCGAGCGTGGTCTGCTCCCCTGCCACTCCTCTTGCCCCCACTGTGCATACGCGCACACCAAGCTGGGTGCGCCCCCCCCCCCCCAGGAGGACAGCCACCCCTGATGTAAATGACTGAGGGAATTCTCTGGTCTTCTGACATTAGGCAAGGTTTCACACAAAGGCAACTAAAATCAGTTAAATTGCGATCTGTACGTTCCCCTTTGTCCCCAGACAGTCCATTCTGAGCCTCTGTTCCTTGGTATACAGCCCTATTTGCACAAGGCTCAAAGGGAATATCCTTTTTTTTTTTTTAAAGGATTTGTCTTTAAATACATGGCCCCTACTCTTTGTGAGTGACTAAACCTCATTCGCTTAGTGGTAAGAAGCTCACTTAGGGCATGTCTACACTAGGAAACTATTTTGAAATAACAAAATTCGACTTAATTCCCGATTTTACAAAATCGAAATAGCGTGTCCCAACTACGGGAAGCCTCAAAATTAGTCTGAGGCAGGCTCTGTTAATTTAAACGCGCTACCTTGACTTAACGCCCCGGGATGCACTCTGGGGAGTAATTACTTCGAATGTCTCTGGGGAGTAGTTATTTCAAAATAGTGGCACCGGGGCGCCTATGTCCACTCTACTGCTATTTCAAAATAATGACAGGTGGAAACTCTCTTAATGGGGATTCTCTGGTCCGGCAAATCATAGAATCATAGAATACTAGGACTGGAAGGGACCTCGAGAGGTCATTGAGTCCAGTCCCCTGCCCTCATGGCAGGACCAAATACTGTCTAGACCATCCCTGATATACATTTATCTAACCTACTCTTAAATATCTCCACAGACGGAGATTCCACAACCTCCCTGGACAATTTATTCCGGTGTTTGACCACCCTGACAGTTAGGAACTTTTTCCTAATGTCCAACATAAACCTCCCTTGCTGCAGTTTAAGCCCATTGCTTCTTGTTCTATCCCCAGAGGCCAAGATGAACAAGTTTTCTCCCTCCTCCTTATGACACCCTTTTAGATATCTGAAAATGCTATCATGTCCCCCCTCAGTCTTCTCTTTTCTAAACTAAACAAACCTAATTCCTTCAGCCTTCCCTCATAGCTCATGTTCTCTAGACCTTTAATCATTCTCATCGCTCTTCTCTGGACCCTCTCCAATTTCTCCACATCTTTCTTGAAATGCGGTGCCCAGAACTGAACACAATACTCCAATTGAGGCCTAACCAGCGCAGAGTAGAGCGGAAGAATGACTTCTTGTGTCTTGCTCACAACACACCTGTTAATGCATCCCAGAATCATGTTTGCTTTCTTTGCAACAGCATCACACTGCTGACTCATATTCAACTTGTGGTCCACTATAACTCCTAAATCTCTTTCTGCCGTACTCCTTCCCAGACAGTCGCTTCCCATTCTGTATGTGTGAAACTGATTGTTCCTTCCTAAGTGGAGCACTTTGCATTTGTCTTTATTAAACTTTATCCTATTTACCTCTGACCATTTCTCTAACTTGCTAAGGTCATTTTGAATTATGTCCCTATCCTCCAAAGAAGTTGCAACCCCACCCAGTTTGGTATCATCTGCAAACTTAATAAGCGTACTCTCTATCCCAATATCTACATCACTGATGAAGATAT